GACTCGAGTAGAAACCGTATGGGTCTGACAGCACCATGCTCGATATATGGTCTCTGGGATATTAGCTGGATGAGGGACTATAGGTACACGGTAATTGACGACAGACAGGTCCAATAGATTGGATTCCCCTGTATCGTTTGGGAATTACGGCGTAGTGCCCTAGTGCGTCCGTAGTCGATGAGTCGAGTGAATTATTACAGAGATAATAATTCACTGAGTTAGAAGGAGTTCTGACAGATATGACTCACGACCAACTCGATATTGGGCCTAGAGGGTCACACACATATGGTAGGCATTGCGATGAGTAGAGGTTCGGATATGAGATATCCGACGGAGGTATTGTCTTATTGGATATCCAATAAGCCCATGAATTATTGGATCCCATGGACGAGATCCAATAAGAGCCCATGAGAGATTATTGGATATAGATCCACTAATCTAAAAGGCTTGGGTTATTGAATGCAGATCCAATACCCACTAGGGGAGGATCCATTAGGGTTTAACAGGGGACCTCTATAAATAGGAGGGATTCAAAGCCTCATAGGCTAGAGCCTTTGCTTGCCTCTCCTATTCTCCTTCCCTTCTCCACCTTAAAGTAGGCTTGGAGTTTTGAGGAGCGTCGTCGCAGCCCTACTGTGTGGATCACCGCTAGAGAGGAGGACGCTTGACCTTCTTCACCATCTCCTAAAGATCTGTAAGGAAACAGAGATATATAATCTCCCTAGGTAACACAATTTACTCTATACGCAGTTTTTCAGTTTCGCAGATTTTGTGCACCAATATTCGTACGACGACGAACATCTCTTTGGGAATCAGGGATTTTGTTTTCTTGTTCTTCCGCTGCGCATGTGATGTCGCCCCCCAAAGATTTTCCCAACACTTATGTTAGAAGGGATTCTTGATCCCATTGACTTATCAAGTTTAGATGTTTGTATTGAATGAATTAAAGGTAAACAAACTAAACCTAAGAGATCAGGTGCATATAGAGCAACAAATGTCTTAGAATTGATATATACAGATATTTGTGGGTTATTTCCTATACTTTCATGGAATGATCAATAATATTTCATATAATTCATAGACGATTACTCTAGATATGGATACCTGTATATAATACATAAAAAATCTTAGTCTTTGGATATGTTCAAAACATTTAAAGCTGAAGTTGAAAATCAACTCAACAAAAGGATAAAAAGCATCAGATCTAACCGTGGAGGGGAATATTATGGTAGAAATGACAACTTAGGTGAACAACGTCTAGGACCATTTGTTTTATACCTAGAGAAGTGTGGAATTGTTCCTTAGTATACAATGTCAAGGTCACCTAGCATGAATGGTGTAGTTGAAAGACGAAATGCACACTTAAGGACATGGTAAGAAGTATGATTCCTTAATCTACTTTGCCAGAGTCACTCTAGGGAGAAGCAATAAAGATTGCAGCTTACATTCTTAATGGAATACCAACTAAAGCAACTATAAAAATACTTTATGAGGTTTGGTCCAGGAGAAAACCTAGTCTAACACACTTTCATATATAGGGTTGTCTAGTTGAGGCAAGGCTTTACAAGCCTAATGAAAAGAAATTGGAACCCCGAACAGTGAGTAGTTACTTTATTGGTTATTCTGAGTGATTTAAGGTGTATAAATTTTATGATCCCAAATCAAAAAATATTTTTGAGACGGGTATTGCTACATTCTTCGAGGATATTGAGTTTGGGGGAAGAAATAAGGTTAAAGACTTTACCTTTGAGGAAGAATTGGTTCAGTCTGATCTAATTCATATAGTTGTCATTGATGTGACAAATTCAGTACCTCAAAAAGATATAGTTATTTCAACTCCCATATAGTACGAGGAAATTATTCATTAGGAACAAACTCAACATCCTCAAGAATTCATGTCGTAAGAGCCAACACCTTTGCGACAATCCACTAGGGAAAGGACGAGTGCCATTTCATATGCTTATATAGTATTTCTCCAAGAACATGAAGAAAGTAGTGGTATAATAGAAGATAATCCAATCAACTTCTATCAAGCTATAGAGGATTCTAATTCGAATAAGTGGATTGAAGCAATGCATCAAAAGTATAAGTCCATGCAAGATAATAAAGTTTGGGAACTTGTCCCGTTACTAGAAGGTGTGAAACACATTGGTTGTAAATAGATTTTTAAAAATAAAAGGGATTCTAATGGTAATATGGAGAGGTATAAGGCATGGCAAAGGTTTATACTAAAAAGGAAGGAATTGACTTTAAAGATACATTCTTTCTGGTTTCAACGAAGAACTCTTTTAGGACAATTATGGCTCTAGTTGCACATTTTAATTTGGAGCTTCATTGGATGGATGTTAAAATAGTATTTCTCAATGGAAATATTGATGAAATAATTTATATAGTACAACCAGAATACTTTGTGTTAGGAGACCCAAAGAAAATGTCTTGTAAATTGATAAAATCTATCTATGGCCTAAAACATGTATCCCGTCAATGGTATCACAAATTTCATCAAGTAATTATCTCATTTAGTTTTGAGGTGAACGCTGTTGATGATTGCGTGTATCACAAATTCAGTGAAAGCAAATTCATTTTCTTAATATTATATGTGGATGATATTTTGCTTGCCACAAATGATATAGGCATATTGTACGAAACCAAGAGATTTCTATTTAGAAATTTTGATATGAAAGATCTTGGTGACGCATCTTTTGTATTAGGAATCCAGATACACCGAGTTAGATCTTGGGGTATTATAAGATTATCATAAATAAGCTATATCGATAAGATACTCAAAAGGTTTGGCATGCAGGATTGTAAATATGGAGACACCCCTATCACAAAGGGAGACAAGTTCAGTCTCAATTAGTGCCCTAAAGGAAATCTTGAAACTTAAGAAATACAGAAGATTCCTTATGCATCAGTTGTATGGAGCCTAATGTATGCACAAGTTTGTACGCGTCCGGATATAGCATACATTATTGGAGTGTCAGGCAAATACTTAGGTAATCCTAGAATGGATCATTGGAAGGCAGCTAAAAGAGTCATAAGATATTTAAAGAGGACAAAAGATTATATGCTCATATATAGGATATCAGACCATTTGGAGATCATTGAGTATTCTGACTCCGATTTTATTGGATGTCAAGACAATAGGAAATCCACTTTGGGCTACATTTATATGTTTGCTGGTGAGGTGATTTCTTAGCGTAGTGTTAAGCAATCTCTTATTACTTCTTCAACCATGACAGCGGAATTTGTAGTATATTTTGAGGTGTCAAATCATAGAATTTGATTGAGGAATTTTGTCATAGGGCTATAGATAGTACAAGAGATTGAAAGACTACTAAAGATATACTGTGATAATAAATCAGTTGTTTTATACTCCAACAACAATAGGAGCTCGACTAAGTCAAAGCACATTGACATCAAGTTCCTAGTTGTGAAAAAAGGGTACAAAGTAAACAAATTTCTATAGAACACTTAAGAACAAACTTTATTGTTGGCAGATCCTCTCATAAAAGGTGTACCACCCAAATCTTTCATAAGCATACTGCTTATATGAGAATATCATAATTTGAGAAAACTTTAGTTTAGTGGGAGTCTATCGTATGTTTGTTGCATATTCTATGCTAGATTATATATTTGTATAGATATTTTCTGATCAGAAATAAAGCTTCAGTTTATTATACTTTGTATATTATAGCTATTAAAGTTATTAATGATCTCATAAAGATAAAGTTGACCAATTGAAAATTGACAGATTACATTTATGTAATTTTCATGCTATACATTTCATAATTGATCTATGTCATTTGGTTATGTTAATATTAGTAATAACTGATGGGTTTAGCTACGATTGATATAACGAAGACCGCTTTAGTCCTGTACTAATATGATTAATGGACGAGATTGTTTTGTATGTCATATTTAATAATGATAATAGTTTTGAGCTCATCAAGTATAGCATGTTTATAAGGATACATATATGACCCAGTGAGAGATTGTTAGAATTTTAAGGGTCACACACGTAAAATTAAATGTGTTAAGACATTATTTTGATTAGTCAAAATTAAAGTGATCTAATTAAAGTAAAATTATTTAGCTAAAGAACATAATTATTATGAAAATTAATTATGTGGATACCATCAATCATATTTCTAATTTAATTACGAGATAAGTTAGTAATACGAAACTCTTGTGGCATAATTATAAATTCATCAATTATGATTATAATCATAATTGTAGATTCATCAGTTATGACTATAAATAAGGTTATGGTCACCGGTTGCAGTATCTAAGTTTCTCTTTACCCATCAAGGAGAAATCTAAAGTTCTTAAGGATACTATGTAATTGGAAGACCAAATCACCGATTAATTCAGAAAATATTCTAATTGATTCATCAGGTACGTTTTCTAAAAAAATTCTAAAACCATTGTTTTGGATCTATTAAGTATGTTTTGAACCAAAAATTTGATTTTGATTCTATAAAATAATTGTTTGATACATATCCCATATGTTAAAGACTCAACATATATATATATATATATATATATTGTTGTATGTTTTCATTGGCAAAAGTAATACTTTATTTTGGCTTGCACTGCTGTGTATTTCTCTTTGGAATGATTTTACCCCTTTTTCTTTATAAGAGGATATATATATATATATATATATATATATCGCTATTAGTTGAAAGTGATTCAACAATCCTCAAAGTATTGTAGACTACTAACAGGGATCCATCTTGGACCATTGAAAGTATATTTGTGGACATCATAAACCTTATGATACAGCAACAGATGACTCTAATAAAAATCTTACACATTTTAAGTTCCACAGAATCCACAATCCATCAAAATGCTTGCTTCGAGCCATCTGACGATCACAGGAGAGAGATGCTGTGTTAATCTTAATCGTCCATAGCAGAGTGAATAATACGTGAGATGGTGTAGAGCAGCAATGTTACTCCAGTAACAGAAAATTCGGCTCAAGGGGTTCTTGCATCTAAGTCCTAAGAGTTTAGTTTTCCGTAAAAATTAAATAAATATGCACAATCAAGAAGCACCATCAGTGAAAAATTATGTTCCAGACAGAACTATTAACAAAACCACTAGCATATTACAGAACTATTCCTTTCGGTGTTGTCACCACATCGACCTTTCAGAATTAGCAGGGGGAGCCAACTTGGCTGACATGGATGAACTCAGAGTTCCTTCTCTGGCTGATCGAAGTTCCTGCAAAAGTTCATGTAAGTTGCAAGTCAGACATGCAACCCCATCCATGAGGGCTCAAGATCAGTAGTTCACAACCGAAAAATTATCTTGAATTGTTAGGAACATGATAAAGACAGTCATTTGATAAACGGTCTCAGCTACTGTAACTTAAATAGTTTGGCATATTTGAAAACAAAAATGCAAGAAATCTTTATTTGGTTTGTAGGTCATCAAATACAATCTTTAGGATCCATAGTTATGAAATGAAACATCATAATATGCTAAAGTCAGCAATCTTAAATGAAAGGTATGTCTGTTCCTTCTCAAGGTCAAAATTGCTGAAACTGATGAGACTAAAGCAGTAAAATGTTTCAGTCAAAACTTCTAATGCCTGTACTGCCACCTCAGTTCATTTAGAATTTTGAAAAGAATCTAAATTATATGATGAAACTTCAGTGTGCCAGGAGTGTTTATGCAGACAGTTGTCAAGTCTACTATTTTTTTTAATTGAAGTAGTAGGTAGCACAAGGTTTCTGCATGAATGTAGTCGACCAAAGTACTTTATGATTACAACATAGTTTTGATTGTATATATAATTCAATAAGTAGTGCAAATTTCTTACCACCTATTATACCTTGGAAGCAAGAACTACGTTCATCTTTATATATAAAATAATCTCAAAGAGTCCTCGAGTATAGGCACATGATAAATTGTTGGTGAATACTCAAACAAGTAGTAAACAGTATATATGCCTTTGTAAAACTAGATGAGGCTTAGAATATTGCTTTGATATTTGATCTACAAAGTAACAGTATATATGCAGTTGAACTAGAAGTTTATCTCTCTGGCTTAGATGATCAACAAAAGACTTTGAGATGTAAAACTTACCATGCGAAAGGGGAACTCATCTCCTTCCAGCATGTGCACAATTTGACCCATCTTAGGCCGTTTTTGAGCATCCATATCTATACAACGAAGGCAGACTAGCAATACCCTCTTCAACGCTCTCGGTGAAGGCTTAACCTCAATTAATGGATCTACCACTTCCTCTTCACGCTTGCTTTGTACAGTTCGTTTAAACCATTCAACCATGTTTACCTGCGAAAAGTTCAACCACTTTTAAGAGGGTACACACATGAGGCAATTTGAAATTTTCCACCTAAACTCACCTCTCCAACTGGCCTGCTGTAATCTACCGGACTTCTTCCAGATATTATTTCCATTAACAGAACACCAAAGCTATACACATCATTGCTCTCATTAAGCAAACCAGTGCATGCATATTCAGGAGCCACATACCTGTGCAAACATTGAAGGACAAAAAAACAGTGAAAGGCTGTAAATCATAAGGACAAGATATTCTTCCAAAGAAATGCATATGCTCAAAATATTCATATATTGATGAGCTTTAACCGAGACATGCAGTTAGTTTTATGTAGAAGCAGCATCTTGATGCCTAGAAATGACAGAGAAGCATGCCAATTTGAAGAGTGAAATGGATAAAGCATACCCAAATGTTCCCATTACACGAGTTGTTACAAAGCTTGAACCAGATCCCAAGACCTTAGCCAATCCAAAGTCTGACACTTTAGGATTCCATTGCTTGTCTAGAAGAATGTTGCTGGACTTGATGTCTCGGTGCACAACTTTAGGTTCCAAACCTTCATGCAAGTATGCTATACTGCAAACAAATAACCATTTTAAGAGGAAAACAAAAAGTCTTCAATTTCTGAAAGAGGATTCACTAAAAACAACAAAACATCATGAACTTGAAAAGCATCATAATTTCTTTAATGTTGCATCACAGAAATGAATACTTCAGATCTAAACCTTCTTCAAAGAGCATGAGAATTGCAATCACTTTTTAATTCAATATTAATTAACATAAATATATCTACTGGGCCAACATTTGCAAGCAGAATGAACCATAAAAATAAAAGTGCACCAAGAACCAGCAATCGTACAGCAACTGCTATAAAATTGTTGCTTCTATCCTGATTTTCTTTGAGAATTAACATGGGAACGGGAGTACTAACCCTTTTGCTGTTCCAATAGCAATTTTCATTCTTATATCCCATGTCAATGGACTAACAGGACCAACATCACCATGTAACCACTGCTCCAGGGTTCCATTGTCAATATATTCGTATACAATCATCCTGAATGAAAATAGGAAATGCAATACAGCTAAAAGGACCAGAAAGGATGATGGGTTGTGTTAATCCAAATGAATGATGGTAATAATAAAGTGCACTGGAGAGATTTGTTAACCTTTTAACACCTTCAGCGCAGTATCCAATAAGTCCTACAAGGTTCTTATGCCTTACTTTTCCAATGGCTTCAACCTCCACCTTGAACTCCTTCTCCGCTTGACCCCTGCAGCATTCCAATATCATGAATCAACAAGAGTAATACATGGAGACACTTTTTTTTCTCTTTGGCTTGCAATTTTCTAGCAAAAAAAATCAGTTGATCATAGGTTCACTCAGATTAGGAATGATATTTTAAATAGTGTAATCTATTTGTCAAAACATGATGCATAACCAAAAGAAGTTCAAAAAAAGACAGCTGAATTAACTGCCTTTTACTTTTGTCTCTTCTTTATGTGAGTACACTTCTTTTAAGAAGCTGATTTTTCAGGTGTCTAAAGCATTGCCCTCTTTTATTGCTCCTCTCGATTAAGGCTCGACAGACCCCTCTTAGAAAATAGTAGTAGCAAAAAAGGTTCATAAATTACCGTAAAACAAGAAGAAAAAGAAAGTAGGGAAGCAAAACAAGAAAACCCAGAAGCTGGGTCTGAAATACCACCAAAAGTACTAGACTAGCATAAACAATTATATCTAAATGTTGTTGCCAAATTTTGGTAGATTTCAAACAGAAAAATGAAAAAAAAAAAATCATCTATTGAGTTGGTCATAAAAGTAAAACACATAATCTATTTTCTAAGACATTGTAATAAAAGTTATGATCGCCAAAAAAAAGCAAAGCGCAAGTTTGCTTAGACAAGGTTTATCAACAATCAAACGAAGTAACATCATCAGCTGACTTCAACTAAGGAACTACAATTCTGAACCAGCTTTGAGCCCTACAAAATTTATCATCACTGAGTAAATCTTTCTCAGTGCCCTCCATATAACTACTACCAGTGAAGCCAGAATCAAAAGTAGATCAGCCCCCAAATACATAATGGAACAATAAATAATAAGAAATAGTTCATTATAAGCAGCTGTACCATTCATCATTAAAACAAATCTATTTCAGATTTATTTGGTGAAAAGATTACTTTTCATACCTAATTGCCTGATGATAGAGAAAGCACAACTAACTCAAGATAATTGTACTTCCAAAAGCAATACATTTACAGATCCAGAACACTGATACTCCAAAGGGCAAACAAGACAAATGAGGCTCTAATCGACAGCTAAACCAGATCAAGGCCGCTAATTTCAACTTTTGACATCAGTCATGTTGTGTCGATTCTGTATCCGAATCATATCAACATTCCTACTCGCAATCTTATATGCAGAAGATCGAGAGGGTAGAGCAAGAAAAGAGACTCACTTATTGTCGAGGAGATTCTTGACGGCGGCCACCGAGAAATCCGGAAAGACGCCGCGGTAGACGATCCCATAACCCCCCTCCCCGATCACGTTCCCGGGGCTGAACCCGGCCGTCGCCGCCTCCAGCTCTGCTAGCGTGTACCACCGCCCCCACCCAATGTTTTCCTTTTTCTCCGGCTTCTCCTTTTCCGTCGACGACGACGATGACGAACACGACGCCTCCGACGGCTTCTCGGCCTTCGCCACCGCCGCATTTTTCATCTCCTTGATCCCCTTGTCGTGCTCACTAGGTGCGGCGGTGGGAATCTCGGCGATCTCCTTGGTGGAGGTGGGGATCAGCGCCGGGGACCGGCGCTTCATCCGGGCGCGGGAGCGACGGAGGAGGAAGAGGAGCAGCGCAACGAGGAGGGCGGCGGCGGAGATGAATAGGAGCGCGTAGACGGGGAGGCCGAGCACCGGCGTTCTCCCGGCGAGGAATCCGCCAGAGGGGATGGATGCGGCTCCCATCTCCGGCGGATGGCAACGTTGTCACCTTCTCTTCTCCTCCTCCGTTGTTACCTCCTCTTCTTCTTCTGCTCGTCCTTCGTCTCGTTGTTGTTGTGGAGCGTGAGAAGTATCCGTTAGAGAGAGGAGAGGAAGAGAGGTGGTTGTTATATTTGGAGCGTAGCGTAGAGGAGAGGAGGGCGTGAGAGTATTTAAGGAAGGGTGGCAGTAATAGTAATGAAGCAATGTCTGTTGCAGGGAAAGCGACGGGAGTGATGTTATATGGGGTTGGGTCGGGTTGGGTTTGTTGCTGTCTTGCCGACGAAGCGTGGCGAGCGAGCTACACCTTTTATTTTCACGATCACCTCCAATTACCCCATCGACTATCCAACACTCGTTCAAGTGAGCCCCAGACATATCCGATCACAAGGCAGGTGGCCAAGCGGGTGAGTCAAAAATCATTATTCATCTTCTTGTTGTCATGATCATTCAAAGGAAGAGGGTCGCGTGCTTTGTAGAATTACGAGAATGTCTGACCTCGAAGACCGAAAGCCTGTTCGGCCAAAAAGTTTACAACGGGACCCGCGGGATTACCTGCTCTGTGACTGGGAGCACCGGCGACCCCACAGGTTCCGTCTCCCACCCGGTTTTATAAGATAAGGCAGGTACGACTAGAGTAAGAACTAATGGAGTAGAAAAGTTTAACTCGTTTATTAAAGAGGGCGGAGGTTGCAGTTGAGACAGATCTGTTTACTTTACCCAAAACGAATTTACAGAAATATCCTTCAAGGTGTGTGACTGTCGGTCGTTCTGTTCGCATACGGTGATGCTAGGTGAGAATAAGACGATCGCTTTTACTTCTGTCCATAACTGAGACAATGTAATAATCATATAGGAGTAGATATAAAATTCATTAACAGGTTCTCTCGAATTTTGAATTCCGATGATACAGTTATTAGCAATCTTTCCAATCATATAAATAATAATATAGGCAATAAATTCATTGCTATTTTGTTGCTTTCTTACATAATAATGTAATATAATGGCCCACCTGGAACTAAATAGAGCCAATTTATTGATGCCATGACTTTAGAAGCAGCAAACAGCGACGAGTTACCATATCCGATGTTTACGCGAAGTACCACTGTAGGGGTACTTATGTAATTTAACAGTATCCACCGCAGCGGGATGCGCTTTTACTTTCATGCTTCGGAGAGCCCATCAGCAGCGGTGTGAAAAGTCGCGTCGGCCGATCGCATCACGTGATCTGAGCGCGAGGCCTCAAATATTCCGATAACCCGTTATTTATCAATCCGAACCCGATTACATCGCGTCGGTGCGGCAGCACCACAGCCAAGAGGCGCCACGACGCATCGTGTTGTGTGCATGCATGGTCGACACTGTTATCTCCGACGTCGCGAGTTGAGTCACGATGCGTGGCGTTCTCGTGAATTTTACGACACAATACTGATGTTAATACGTGTATATTAATTTGGGGAGATGAATTAAAGATCTTGTGCGTGGTTTTCTTCGTAAGCAATATGTATAGTATCCATGAAAAAGAAAAGACATGACAGAAGATCTATGTACTCTTAAATGGTGCTATGAAGTCCAGCGCTTCCGTATGTGAGCATTCAAGGAGGAGAAAGCTGTCGCAATAATGTTCTCGATACTTTAGAACGCTATTTCCATGTGTCCGTGTGTGAGGGAGGATAGTAACATGTATATGTGTGTATGACTGATACCGATGCATAGAGTGCAGTGCCTATATGGCTCGCTTAGATTGGGCTTGTTTTGAAATGGATATAATAAATTAGGACAAGTGAAAAAATGTATTCTCGTTTTAGACTTTTAGTGGCTACATATATCCTTCTAAATACATGGTTTTTATTATTTTATATTTATTCTTCAAAATTGAAATTTAGCTTATAAATTTGACTGCCAACATAATTCATTAAAATTACTAGAGTTAATTATTTATAGGTTAATTCTTGAATTTTTTTGAATTTTTATCGAGAAGTGCTCCTTATTTTCGAAAGAGCTTACTATTTAGAATTTCGTTCTTATTATTCACAATCTTTTACTATTTATAATCTCTTAAAAATTAATAAAATAATATTTTATTATTCATAATCTCTTTAATTTTATTTTTATCCTTTTTTTTCCCTTCACCGTAGCTTTCACCTGTGTACTTTATTGGATAATTTGCAAAGGCTTCAAACATGATATTTTTTGAATTGATACGATTGACTATGAAGATAATGTCTCCTAAAATATTACAAAATGTATATAATTCGAAAAATATTAAATTATTATATAAAAAAATATTAAAAATTATTTCTTACCTCCATTTCGATCTTTAGTTTATATTATTTCATCAATTCTTTTAAAATAATTTTATGTTACCTTTGACGATTAATAGATGAAAGAGAAGAAGAAGAAAAAAATGAACAAAAAAATAAATTATAGGTAAGGAGTGAAAATATTTTATTAAAATTAAGTTATAAATGGAGAATATATATGTCTATATATAAATGGATAACTTAGGAATATTCAAAGTTTTTAAGAGGTTGTAACTAATACAGAGAACACACTTTTCTTTTCATTGTTTTATGAATTTTCCATAGGGTGAATCAATATAAATTATAGTCTTTTTAGTAATACTAAAAAAATACTATAATATAGTGCTATATTTTTTTATAAATTTTATAAAAAATATTATGTTTATAATATTTTTAATAATTATAGAAAAAATATAATACAGTGATTTTTAGCAATATTAGGAAAATACTTTAACATAGTATAAAAATGTTTTTTTACTACGTTACAATATTTTTATGATATTACTGAAAATAATATAACATAATGCAAAAACATTCTAACTCGATTAATTCATCCTATTAATTCATAGGCAAAATAGAAAAGAGGAAAAAAGATAACGGGAGGTATTTTAGGTATTAGAATAAAAGGCACTGTTTAAAAATTTTAGAAATAAAGAGTGTTTTTCCAAAAAAAAAGTCTAAAAATGGGAATTCGCCCAATTATTTTTTGGGTCGTTTAGAGCTTAGTGATAGCAGATATATTTTCTCAACGATTCATTTAAGTTAAATTAAATATCTATAAAAATCAAATTAAAATAGATTGTCCAATTAGAAAAGCCCGGTTGCAAAGCATGCCCATCCACAAAGCATCATCCTTTAATAGGACATGGACAAGTAATTAGGGTCACGTGATCCATATCGGACCAACAATTGATGGACCCAACCTTATCCACCTGTTCCCCTCGCCACTCCCACCCGCCTTAATCCGCCTCTCATCTATCCCCACGTGTCCCTGCCCCCACACAGATATTCTGCGGGAATTAGGCCGTGGGCATGCGGCGTCGCCTCTCATCGTTGCGCTCTAAGATTCGTTCATCGACACTTGGCGTTTCCTGACGAGCTCCTCGCGAAACTATTGCCGCGACGAGGTGCTGTAACTAACGCATTCCTGAAGGACATCAGAACCGGTGATTTCTATATCCCTCTCTGCCCGCCGTCGCCGTTATGGCCGTGCGGAAACGTGGCTATGTCATCGTGGAAACGGAAGCGCGTCGGGAGCAGCGGCGGCCATCTTCCCTCCCCCGACGGAACCCTAACGGAGGTTCTCCCCTCCGCCGCCTCCGGCGGTGGCTTCGACGACCCCGCCGCCGCTGACGTTCTTCTCCGCCTCGAGCTCGACGACCCCGATCCCCTCTCCATCGACCTCCACCTCTGCTCCGCCGCGCTCCGCCGATCCCGATACTTCGCCGCCCTCCTCTCCGATCGATGGCAGCGCCCCGGCCGCGGCCCCTGCCCTGGCCCTGGAGGTGCGATCAGTCACCGCCTCACCCTCAAGGTCGTCGCGTGCCCTGGAAGCCCCCGCGGCCCTTTCGACGCCCATGTCGCCGTCCTCCGGCTCCTTCACACCCTCGACTTCTCCGGCGCTATCGGCTCGGTGTCCGACGCTCTGGAGATGATCCCGGTGGCTTCGGAGCTCCTCTTCGACGATTGCATCCGGGCCTGCGTGCGATTCCTCGAGGCCGTGCCGTGGACCGAAGAGGAGGAGGATGGGGTCCTTAATTTGATCCCTTTTCTTCGCCGAGAAGAGTCCCAAGACCTCCTTGCGAGGGTTTTGCCTGTGATGGTGGAAAAAGGGGATGGAAAGAGCGTGCCAGAGGAAATGCTACATGGATTGATTGATTCAGCAACTCGTAGTCATCCGAATGTGGCGACCATCAAGGCCTTCGTTGCAAAGCTACTGAGAGATTACCCTTCTCGGGATTCAGTGAGGAGAGTTTTGGATCAAGCCTTTTTGACGAGTATGGAGACGGTGAAGGATTACCTTGGGAAGTATGCCAGCCCGGACTTTAGAGTTGCTGGTGACAATGATGAAAGAGAGGCGATGCAGAGGTTGAATCTGCATGCTGCCGTGGTAAATGCAAAGCACCTGCATTGGCTGGTGGAGAGGATGATTGAGTTGAGAGTGGCCGACACTGCAGTTGCAGAGTGGAGTGAGCAGGCTGCACTGGCAGCAGACTTGCAGAAGACTTTCAGGGATGATGCATGGAAGAATATAGCTCCTGGACTGCTGTCGCTGGTCATAAAGTCCACATTCCGAGTGGCCAAAGCAGTTGTTTCTGGGACTACTGTGGCTCCGCGACAGGTTTTCCCCTTGATCTATTCATGAATTTATCCTTCTCTTTTTGTTATGAATAATGTTATGATAAGTGATTGTAAACCAAATGTGACCAGGGCAAGGATGCTCAAGAAAAGTTATAATAGTATCAATAATATGTTCAGCTAGAAATCAATGAAATTAGCATGACTTATATAAGTTTGATTTAAATGAAGTAAAAAGTTCACATAGACCTTGAAAAGAAAGTGATCACAGCCAGCTGCATCCAAATTAAGGGGATAATTTCCCTCTATTTATGCATATTAATGAAAAATAAGGATAAGATTTGGTGATGACTTAGCAGGATGAAACATTAAACATAGTAGGACCGTTGTTACTGTTGTCCTTGAATACTTTATGTAACTTAAAGAGAGTTAGTTTTCTTTAGTATAGGGATGGTCTTGCTAAACGTACAACATAAAAGATAAATCTGTACTCATGTATCTTTTAGTGGATAAAGAGGATTTTTCATGATGAAAGTCTCTATGGAAGGCAGGATGATTTAATCACATTCCTAGTTTATTATGTCTGGT